ATTCCTGGTTCCATAAAATTGAGGATTAGACAAACATAAATTCTGCAGGGACAAAACAATTTATTTAGTCAAACCCCATGTAAAGATATACGAATCAGTAATACGAGTCGAAGCAAAGATACATATTAACATGCCTCACCTATCATGAAATAATTTAATATAGGCTTAACTTATAATGGATCAGATATGCTAAAGATAAATGAAGAATTTGAATAGCATGAAATTATGCATTTTAAAAATCAATAACACATTTCCAAATATATAAATGACATACTAAAACACTATGTTAGAACTGACTTTGAAATGGCAGGCTCTGAGGGGTTGAGGAAGGTATTTCAAGCAGAGCTGTTCTGCTTTTGCCTTTCTTTATGTAGTTGCTGTGTTGGAGTTCTCCATACAATCTATTTTGAGATGATTGAATGGTTTCTACTGGTACAGAAATAGGTCAGTAAATAAATAAATGGTTTGATTGCCACTGTGTTGAGCCACAATATAAACCGTGCTATTAACTTTATTTCAATAAAGCTAGAAATCAATGAAAAAAAAAAGGAAATCTAATATCCCCCACCCAGCTACTCTCAAAGAAAAACCGTTAAGGAAGATAATCAAAATTACAATTACAAACTATTTTTAAAAGAAATGAAAATGCTGTATTCTAAAACTATTGGTAACGCTTAAACAATACTGAAAGGCAACTTTGTCATGCCAGGTCAACACTTGATCCACAGAAAAAGGAAAATGATTCAAATGCCTATTTTCTAAATTCTCACAAGGCCTACGTGTGGCAAGTACTATTCCAAATGCGTTGAAGAGAACTTAATTTATTATGTGCAGTGGATCCTTTGGGCATTAGGGCTTAATTCTCTTAGTGAACTCTGGTTGAGCAAGCCAGACAAGCCTTGTTATTAAAATGATAATCTCTGGTTTTGATGAAGACGTGGGTAGTTGAACATTCTTATATGCAGCTTCTGGGGTCTGAGTTAAAAAATGCTATCCAGAAAATAGTTTGTTAATCAGTTTAGAAGCATAAATATATTGACATCTTCGATCCTTTACTTGATGACATAATTTTTTAAAAGATTTGTTTGTTTATTTGAAAGTCAGAGTTACAGAGTATTTATTGTCTTCCCATAATGTTAGATAAGTGTAGTGTCACAGGATATCCTAATCCTGAACTTTTTTGGCTGGGCTCTGTTTTGTACATGAGTAAAAGTGTAAATTTCCATCTATAGAAGTAAAATTTCCATTCTTCTTCTTACCTTCAGTGAGGAAGAATGCTTGCAAATTTTGAAGTGCTGATATTCTAATTATGCATAATGACTTGAGAGATGTCCACTTGGACAGTATAGAATTGATATTTGCCATAAGCTCTGCCTGTGGTATTTGCCAGGCATCTTGCTTCCCTACTTTGTGGAGCTTGAGACTGGCAGGAGTTGGCCCCAGTGTGGACTGTTTTTCAGCACACTGGCATATTCACATGGAAGATTCTTTTTAGTGAGTTGGATTTATTTCAACCATGGATAATGAAATGTTATATTAAACTAAAAAAATCTCTGCAGAAATAATTTGACTAAGTGCCCTTGAGGCAAAGTCCGTAATGTAAGTGAAAGAATCGGGATTGTTTGATGGAATCTGATGTTGAAGATTTTATGTGGAGATTTTTACATTATAAGAAGAAAGGTTATTGGTATGAGAAAACACAGAGCTTATGTGGCCAGTGCAGTGACCTTAGGTAATGTTTGATTGCCTGTGCTGAATGTGTGTTAGCAATTCATATTAACGTGTGATCCTCATTTTGTTTCTTTTCCATATCTTGATTTAAAATTATTTTGTGCTGATTTGAGTCTGTTGACAAAAATAATCTTTTGCATTATCAAATGCAATGATGAATTAAAACATGTTAACAGAAAATACCTATTAAAATGTCTGCTTTAGAAATATGTCAGCTTGTCTTTATTTGATTAAAATCCACGTCTTAGAAAATGTCATAATAATAATTGATGCAAGCACAAAGCATAATCACATATTTTAATTTTATTTAAATTTTGTTTGAAAATGAGGGGCTGAGAGTGAAGATCCAGAAAACAGCAAAAAAAGATACTCTTCCAAATAGCAGATGCTTACAGTGGCTGAGACTGGGATTAATCCTAGAGCCCAAGATGCATCCTGCCTTTCAGGATACATATTATCAGGAAACTGAAATAGATGTGAAGTAGCTGGGATTTAGCCAGGGATGCTGATATGTCATATGCATGTAAAACACTGAGCTACATGCCTACCCCATACCAAACCTCAAATAGTAATCACATATTACTTTGGGGGTTCCAATCTTGAATCTAGTAATACCTAGGCGGATGCAGGAAATATCAGAAATGAAGATCAATTATTATGCAAATACTTGGTGAGAATATTATAAAAATACCACCTGGAGACACTTGTAGCTGTGTGTTGAGTAGTGATCTCAGTGTGTGTCTTTATGTTAAATTTGTCAACTTTCATTTCTTCACAATAATGCATTTAAATGCCTTCATCTGCCAGGCTGGTTTATAATCTGTTATTCACCGTTCATCCTCCCCGCAGCCAGGAACTCCATTTTAGTCTCTCACATGGGTTTCACATGGGAGCTACTTTTCCAAGTGAGTTACAGGAAGCTGGTTGGAAGAGGAGCAGCTCACACATTAACCCTCTCATGTGGGATGCAGTGTTCCAAGTGGTGGTTTAACCGACTGCATCATTGTGCTGGCCCCTTTTCTTTCATTTTTTAAAAAAGTTAAGTTATTATTTGAAAGGCAAAGATTGGTTTAGTGGGGGAAAGTGTGGGATGCATGGAAGAGGTGTGGGAGATACTGTCCATGTGTTAGTTCACTCTCAGTTGCCTGCAACAGATAGGACTGGGTCAGACCAAAGCCAGCAGCAATGAACTCATTCTAGGTGTCCTTGTGGAAGACAAAGACTCAAGTACTTAAACCATGGTCTGCTGCATTCCATAGTGCACATTAGCAGGAAGCTGGAATATGAAGTTGAGCCAGGATTGAAACCAAGGTACTCTTATGGTATGTGGGCATCCCAGAAAATGTCTAAATCCAGTAATTTCAGTTTATTGTGGATCTTAAGATAAATGTTTCATATGACAAAAACTTTATCTTATTAGTATGAAAGATCTTTTTAGGGAGGAAATATTTTTATTATAAAAATAATCATTGATATGCCTATAGGATAACAGAAGTAGGTAAAATTTTGGCTGGTTATTATGTTGTGAAAGGAAAGAAGGAATAATATTTAGTAAAAGAGTGGGAATATTCATTCAAATGCACTCATCCCATTGCTAGCTTGTTTAATTCTATAACAAGATTTTAATTTGTTTATGGGCAATTTGAATTTTAAAGCTATTACAAATAATTTTCCACTGAATGTTTTGAACACTTTATTGTGCACAATTATGAGAATTTGGTAGGTTGCTTCCAAGGAATAGAATTTCTAGGTTGTATGGTTAGCATGAATATATTTAACTTTTCATGAGAGACAAAGTTGATTATGCCACTTTATATCTTAGCAATAGTGTTGCTGTATTTCTGTGCTTACTTAATGTTTTGAAATTCAATTTTGGCCATTGTAACGAGTAGAAATTATATTTAATATTACTTTATGGTTTCCTGCTTACCAATGAGCTAGTTGAGAATCGTTATACACCTCTATGTTTATTGGACATTCAAATGGAATGTTCTCTGAAAATATACTATGCCTATTTTTATTGTTGATTTTTTCTCATTGGTTATTATGTGCTCTGTATGTTGTAGATGTCCTCATATTAGATTTATTACTGTATTTCCTGCTAATTGGGTGCTTGTCTTGTTATTCTGTGTGTCTGCCTACCTGTCTTTCCATGTGACTGTCTACCTACAATTTTAGTGATCTGATTTATTAACTGATTATCTTCTTAAATTTTACTTTTGTACAAAACTTTTAAAATTACATGATTGCAAATATATTTCTGTGATTTTTCTTGTAAGCAGTTTACAGTTTGCCTGTCATAAGCACTAACCCATGTTTAAATGATTTGAGACATGTTATTAGAACTTGAATCTATTTCTTTTTTATTCAGAATCAATTATTGTAGTAAAGCTTATTAAGCAATATGTCTTTAGTTCATTGATTTTAAAAAAATGTATTCAGAGGAAGAGAGAGATGTGCTTATAGTGACAAGGAAGGTGCCAGGTCAGAGCCAGGATGCAGGAACTTATTCCAGTTCTCCCATTTGGGTAGCAGGGCCCGACTATTAAACTTCATCTGCTGCTTGCCAGTAACTGTACTAGTGGGAGGCTGGAACTGGGAGCTGGGAACTGCATTCAAACCCAGGCTCTCTGACATGGGACACACGTAACTTTAACATTAGGTTAAACATCTTATTCTCACGGATTTTTAATGCCAATTCTGGTAAAAATTTATGGTTGTATGAGTCTGTTATTGTTCACTTGTTCTTTCTTCCAGGATCTACACTTCACCCGTCTTTTATATTATGTAACTTTAAAAGATTTTCTACCATTCTTTCCTAATGCATTTCTTTAGACTCTAACTTAACTCTGTCACACTCCTGTGAATTTGAGTAATTATATGATTTTAATTATTTTTTTCATTGTTCCTTACCATGGCACGTATTTTTTCTAATTACCCTGAATGCATTTTATTTGTTCATATTACCTCTTTTTCTTCATAGTATCTCCTAAAAAGATCTTTTACTTTTTGCATTCTATTTATTGACAGATATATTGAAGGTGAAAGCACATGGGCAATGCTTTAATATTAAGATGCAGACAACCTTTCAAATGTATTTGTTACAAATAAATTTAAAATACTTTTCCTGTATGACTAGTAGAACATTTGATTAGCATTTTAGAGTTGGTGCTGTTTAATTTATGTCACTAAGGTATATACTATTGTGTTTGAAATTCTTTAGTTATCAATCCTTCATGCTATTGATAATTGACCTTCTTTATTTTTAGATGGTTGGAATCCTTTTTCATACCCATACAAGAAACTGGATTATGGAAAATGGGAGCTGTATATCCCACCAAAGCAAAATAAGTCTGTAGTGGTGCCTCATGGATCCAAAATAAAGGTATTTTTTTCTCCCTGTTGTTCTTACTTGAATGTATAATTTTGTAATCCTGTTTGCAGCACTTGATTTACAATATTAGAATGTATACTAAGTTCGCGATAACATTGAGGAAAGCAGTCTGAATTAAAGAGAGGGCATTACCACATTGGAATGCGTTTAGAAATATTCAAATGGTAGAGCATCAGACTCAGTTTTGATGTCGGAAGTTTAGGAACTTAATAGAAATAGTTACATATATGAGACATGAATTTAGATTGCTTCACTGTCTTCATATCAGCAATGTAGAGGGGATGCTTTACCTATAAAGAAAGTTTTGACAGAGGTGATGTCACAAGTTCCATGGTAGTAGGGGGTTGCTGTGCTGGTGCATTCTGGGAACATGGTTTTCTGGTTCTCCCTGTCTCAGGCTGCTGAGGTACACTGGGGTGGTCTAGTTTTTCCGATTCTTCAGTATACAAAGCCCTTGCTTTGTTAGCCCAGAGTCCTGTGTAGTAGAGACTGACTGAACATCCTGCACTCTCCCTTTGCATGGACCGACCATGTCTTTCTACGTTTTGCGTTTGCAGAGAAAGTAGTCATTGGTGACCTCTGCTGACTCTGCCAGGGAGGCTTAGTAGACAGGTTGCCCAGTTTGGAATATATACATAGGGCTTTTGATGTATAGGAAACTTTGTAGGTCCTTTCATAATTCTTTGATTTTATCAATGATTGTACAATATTTAACACACCTATGTCCCTTTTATCTTTTTCTATTCCTCAGACATTACCATGATGAATTCTACAATTGAATTATTTTATTACTACTTGCTATTTCCAGCATTAAGCCTGATTATTTAAAAATATATTTGAAATCAAAATGCATGGTGTGTGTGTGTTTTGAAAGTTTACTTTTTTCTTCTTATGAATAATGAATTTATAAGGACACATAAAAAGTATAGAACTCTTGCTACACATTGTATACTAATGAGAAAAGTATGTGTGTAGAATAAATGGCTTTAAAAAGGTGGGATAGCAGCCAATGGTCTTTCTGATCTGCAGTGCGAAAGAGAAAGGGAAGCTGCAGTTTAGCATTAGAGGGATTTAAATTTAATATAAATAATCCCTTTCCATGTCAGTAGGAGCTCCATGAGAGCAGGGCCTTTCACGTTCTGTTGCTACCATTGTACATTTCCAATGTTTAGAATGGTGCCTGGCAGAGTATGCACTCAAGAGATATGTATGGAATGTCAAAGTCATTTTTTAGGTACAGCCTATTAAGGAATAAGTTGAATAACTTGATTCTTGTACAGGGCATGGGCTATTATTTTATATAAACTGTGAGGCAAGGCAACTAGTTTCTTTGCGGCTTTATGTCTAAAGGCCATTTTTGTGCATTGTTTTTATTTTTTTAAAAGCTGAAATGAACTACTTTTTATAAGCGTTTCAGAGTACTTTTTTTCCTTTTTCCATTGGAAAATTCTGTGTACTCTGAAATCTTGCCTAATATTTTAATTATTGGCTGAATGAATTCATCTTAGAAATCTGTTTCTGTGTATGGGAAGTATCGATGAAACCTAGGAACAAATGGTTTTTGATACATACTGAGGCTTTTGGTAGAAATTTGCCTCTCAAATCTCACTCCAAATCTTTTATATTTTCTGCACCATGTTATGTACTATTTTTTAGTGTTTTAAAAATGGCGGTTTTAATTTAATGAGATAAAATAATATGATCATTAAATGAGTTTGACAATGTTATCTGGCTTTCAAATCTATGTTTCACAGCAAATAAATGTTTAAAAAGTACAAGACAAAGTCTTGTGCAATCTTTCCTCATTATTATTCTCTACAAATTTTTAATGAGGTTAATTAACTGGAAATTTAGGACCGAAATGTTATTCAGAATGTATAGCTATTTCCAATATTGAGGAAATCTTTAAATGCTCTCATATAATTAGTATGGTGATATAATTATTCATTTATAGGAAATGATGCATCAGATTTTCTTTAGGGGAACGATCAGCTTCCCTGTAAATATCAAGTCACTTGAGGATTTTAGCCTTCACAAGTGAAGTTGTCCCTAGGTAATATATCTTGATAATTAGACACTTTTGTTTATATTGAACTTGAAAATGTATTTTGGTCCACAAGGGGTTGACCTTTATAACTCACTTGAGACTATCTCTCTTATGATTCGTCTGTTAACCATTAAGAGAAAAATAACTTCTATCTATTGTTTAAACAATAGCTTTGTTTTCTCTACAAAACACCTGAAAATTTTCAATGAACACTTTTTAAAAAGCACATAGCTGTTTAGGTGGTTTGTATATGTTATCCTTTTATTTTTTTCTAAGTTTCGCCTATTTGCTTTTTATTTATTTGTTTATTTTCTGAAAGGTAGGGTGACAGAGTGCAACAGCTTCCATCTACTGTTTTACCTGTTTTACTCCCCAAATACCACAACTGGTGACATTGCGCCAGGTCAAACTCAGGAGCCAAAATGTTCATGTCTTCCTTGTGAGTGCTAGGGACCTAAGTATTGAAGCACTACCTGCTGCTTCCCAAGGTGCATATTAGTAGGAAGTTGTAGTGAAGTTGGAACTGGGACTCAAAAATAGGGACCTTTGACAAGGCAGCAACTTCAAAGCTGTCCCAAAACACCATCCCATCATTTAGATATTTAGTTTATCAAGATGCTTTAAAAATATGTTAAGATGCATTAAATATTCAAGGCTATACAGATATAAGGATACTATGTTCAGCTTTCTTTAATACTCTTTTCTGCTGTATACATAACCAAACTCATTTATTTAGAGGTAATTGTTGTTCTTATTAGCTATATTATAAATATAAAACTTCTTTATGTCTTTGTGTCTTTTTTCTTTTAAAATTTATTTGAAAGGGCTAGTGTTAGAGAGAGGAAGATACAGGCAGAGAGAGGGTTGGGGGTGAATCTTCCACTTACTGTAGACCCCCTAAATGGCTACAATAGTCAGTGCTGTACTATGCCAAAGCTAGACACCTGAAGCTTGATCCCAGTGTCCCACATGGGAGACAGACACCCAAATACTGGGGTCACCTGCACTGCTTTCCTAGTCCCATTAGCAGGGAGATGAATTAGAAGTGTAGCAGTCAGACTGGAACTGGGACTCTGACATGGGATTCTGTCATGTTAATCTTTTAGTGAAGTAACAAAAGGGATGTCCTCTCTCTAACTGCATGTTACTCAGGTTACCATGACGATGTGACTTAAATAAACAAAATTTATTTTGTCACAGTTCTGGGACCTGGAATTGCAGGTCAGCGTTGTTTTGTTCCAATAAAGGATATCTCAGGACTGGCAGATAGAAATTTTGCCTCGTTTCACATGGCAGACAGAAAGGAGACTGTTGTAAAAACTAATCCCAGCCATTTTACATGCTGCCTGCCATGTGCACCAACTGCCACCATTGCACCTGTAGTATTGGCCTGGGAGTTAGTGCCAGTGGGAGCATGTCGGTTCCCGGGAATTAATGCCAAGGCAGCTTGCAAGCCTGGGGATGTCCCCATGTTCTTGGTCCTGGGAGGAGCAAGGTGAGGGTAAGGGAGGACCCTAGGTTAACATGCTGACATGATGTGCTGTTAGATTGGATTAGGGAGCTTTGAATTGGGTTGAAATTTGAGTCGAAAGAGGGTAAGGTCCCAGGCCCAGCACACTTGCCAGGAGCTTGGGACACAATGGATGGGCTGAGCTCCAAGACAGCATATCACCCCACTGGAAGACTGGACTTTGGAAGATTGGACTGGGAAACCCATTCACTCCCAGGAGCAGGGACTGTGTTCTGCCCAAGGAAGGGAGTCATGTGATGCGTTAGAAGAAGGACTGCTGAGGGAGTGTGTTGCAGGTGAGAAATGACTTCTGAGGGACTTCCATTGACTAAGGTACTGCCACTATATTTGCAGGTATGTGAGGGGACTGAGATTGAATGGTTTGGAAGAGAGGACTGGAGGACCTTTAAGGGTCAGGCCGGTGCACCAGTTCACGTTGGAGACCTGGGCTGTGCTAGTTAGCATTGACCATCGCTGACCACTGATCACTGGTGCACACGAAAGCTAGGGCTGGGGGCCTACCAGGCAGGGCTAGATCATAGCACCCTGCAGTGAGGGTTGGAACAGGGGACAGATGATATTATGCTGGGCCATCATGTGAACTAGCCATGTGAGAGAGTCAGGTCTAGGGGCAGATTTTATGGGGAATATGTATGCTCACTCTTGTGGAACTGCAGTTTCCATTGGCTTGGTTAAGAGCTGGAGGTAATGATGTGTTGAGTTAGACATGACCATGAAATCCTCCAACATTCATGGGTACTGGGGTTGGGAATAGGCCATGCTTGTTCAGGGTGCAGCACCCACATGCACACCCAAGAATAGGGTGTGGGGCAAGCTGGGATTCAACATCCACTAGCTCTCACAAAGGTGGGGACAGTGGGGTGTGGGAGGTGGGGAGAAGAGGGGAGGTGAGGAGGCAAGAGACATTGAGGGAGGACCATGTCAGATAAAGCCCCAAGCACCTGTTGACACATGTGAGATCTAGGTCTGGGAGTGGGCCTGGTGGAGGAACTTGGAAAATTCCCCTGGTGGTCTGTAACTCCTACTGTTGAGCATGTGATTCGTGCCTGGGTATTGGTTAGGCCAGGCAAGGTAGCTTCACCCATTGGAAGGTGTATAGGTTGATTCTGGAGAGGGGTGAATTGGGCAGGACTGGGCCTAGCACATTGGCGTGTGCAAGAGCCAGGCTGGAGTGCAGGTCATGCCAGGCTAGGCTATCACACCTACTGGTTTGCATGAAACAGAGATGGAAGTAGACTAAACAGAGCTAGGCTACAGCACCTACCAGTGAAAGTTGGCATTGAGGATAGGCTGGGATAGGCCAAACTGTAGCATCCAATGGCATAGGTGAAAACTGGGGATGGGCTATGCCGAGCTGGGTTAGAGCAAGGTCTGTGACTGGCAGCAGGCCTGGTTGGGGAGCTAAGGGAATGC